ACGCCATGCCCTTAATGAATGGTCCGCCCGACCCGACCCGCCCTGCTCACTAGGGTTCGCACGTGCTCCTTCGAGTACGCGCCATGCCCTTCATGTCCCGCCCGGCGGGACCCGCCCGACCCGGCCTGGCCCGCCCGGCGCGGCCCACCCTGACGAGGACTCGTCCGAGGAGGAGGAGGAGGAGGAGGAGGAGGAGGAGGAGGAGGAGGGGGAGGAAGAGGAGCAGGAGGAGGAGGATACTGAAGCGCAAGCATCTCGGTCCATCACGGAGTCTTGTTCGTGGTTGAGATCGTTCTTTCGGTAACTGCGGTAAAACGTGTTACCCAGGGAGGCGTGCATCCGCCAGGGTGGGTCCGCGCCACCAGCGCATCAATCGCCTGTGTGCACCACAATCCCTGTGCACCTGATAATGCCCAACTCTTGCGCGCCAGTCCCTGTATGCACGACAATGCCCAATGCCTGCGTGTAACACAGCGCCGCCTGCTTACATCATAGTGCCTCCGTGAACCACAGCAGCCGCGCGCAACGCCTGTGTACACCACACTTCCTGCGTACATTGCAGCAGCCGCGTCCGCAACAGCGCCTGTGTACACCCCAGTGCCTGCGTGCACCAGGATGCCTGTGTACACCAGCGCTTGTGCACGCCGCAGAAATCATGTGTACCACAGCGCCTGCGCACACCAGAATGCCTCCGTGCACCGCAACGCCTGTGTGCACACCACAAAACCAAACGTGCCAGAGGAGTCCCGAGTAGCTTGCGAGCGCCACGCTGCGCTTATGAGCACCGCGCTGCGCCAGGGGCGACCGCATGGTGGAATGGCCCAAGCCTTTTACTCGAATGCCAGCTGCAGCAGGAACTGGAGGAGGGCAGGCGGAGCAGTTCTGCGGGGCTCGCCACAGGCCGCGGAGGCCTTCAGGAATTGTCATTCACTTCCTCCTCCTCCTCCACCTCCACCACCTCCACCTCCACCTCCTCCGCCTCCTCCCCCTCTTCCTCCTCGTCCCGTCGTCGCCGGCAGAACCATAAAGGCACCGACCGGGAACGGCCGACCACGACACAGCGGGCCCGCTCGCTCCAGCGGGCCCCTCCTCCTGCCCCTGCTGACCCTTCTCCGCCTCCTCCTCCTCCTCCTTCGCCACCTCCTCCTCGTCCTCCTCCTCCTCCTCTTCCTCCTCCTCCTCCTCCTCCTCCTCCTCCTCCTCCTCCTCCTCCTCCTCCTCCTCCCCCTCCGCCTCTTCGCGGGGTTAGCCGCAGACTCGGGAGGCCCTCGTGACTCGTCCTTCAGGCCTTTCGTGGGGGCAGCCTCGATAATGGTCGTGGCCAGGCGTGCCCTCCGCCTCCGCAAATCATTATGCTGCACTGCAACGCTTGCGTACACCACAACGCCTGTGTATACCCAGCAGCCGCGGGCACCGCCGCGCCTGTGCACACCACAGTGCCTGCATGCATCACAGCGCCTGTGAACACCGCGACGCCTGTGCACACTACAGCAGCCATGTGCGCCGCAGCGTGTGCGTACGCCACAGCGCCTGCGTGTACCACAGCGCCCGTGTACTTACACCGCAGCGCATTGGCCAGGCGTGCGCGTCGATGCCTGCGTGCGCCAGAGCGCCTGTGTACTCCTTGCAATGTTCTTTGAAAGATTTCAAGGATTCACGCTCGTGGCCGGCTTGCATGCGTTACCGTTGCGGGGTGGGGGGGGGGCATGGGGGTGGTAACGCGCGTTACCTCGGGGGGGGGGGATACAAGAGCGATCTCTTCACGGGGCCTCTCGGGCCGTGGTGGAATAGCGGAGGCTATGATGGATCTCTTCGTCGGGGGGGCGCAGGAATGCGAGGTGTGCGGCCAGCCTGGCGCGCTCCCGCGAGCCAGAGCGGCCTGTCCCCCGGGCTGGCCGCGGAGCTTCGACCCAACTCCTGGGCAGCGCGTGCCACGAGTCGGTCACGCCGCCGTGTCCGCCGGGGCGGCGGCCTCTCGCTCTCAGTCGGGGCGGCTGCTGCTGCTGATGCGCGCCATGGTGCCCCTTCTCACCTTTCTGCCGCCGTGCCGCCGGCGTCGATGGCGTCGTCGTCCTCGTCCTCGTCTTCAACCTCGTCCTGGTCCTCCTCCCCGTCCTCCTCGTCGTCGTCCTCGTCGTCGTCGTCCCGAAAACCGGAGTGCGAGGCAAAGTTCTCGGGAGCTCTTGCTTGTAGTCCCTCCATGGCTCTTCGTCGCCACGGCTGCATGCCCCTTGAGACGTCAGCGAGAAGTCACCGTTGGTCAGGTCTTGGGTGTCTGAACCGAGATATCTGGCGGAGGACTGGGGGGGAGGAGGGGGGAGGAGGAGGATGATAAGGAAGGAAGGCACAAGGAAGGAGGAAGGGAACTGGGAAAGTGGGGCTTCCTTTCCCCACCCTCATTCGCCTTCCCTGGCTGCTGCTTCTGCGTGGCCACCTCCGCGTCCCACCTCCCCGACCTCCTCCTCGTCGCTCTCCTCCTCCTCCTCCTCCTCCTCCTCCTCCTCTTCCTCCTCCTCCTCCTCCTCCTCGTCATTCCTTCTCCCCCCCTCGTTCTCTTGGGAGGCTGCGCTCGCCCGTGCCCGCGCCGTGTCACTGAGAAGGAGGCGTGCCCATCCCGCTCCACCAGCAAAAAGGCCCGCCAGGGTCGCGTGGCCCCCCGGGGAGGCCGCGCCTCATGGCTCCCGCCATCGTGGCACGTCGTCCGCTACCAGGGTCAATTCGGGCCTGTCCCTCTACAGGAGGAATATTCAAAAATAGTCAAAGAATGGGGACGATTTTTTAGAGTTATGCTTCACTATCTTTGAATGCTTTTGATTCTTGGCTTAGCTTCGACCGGAAGAGGTGCGCTCTCGACCCGCGGATCAAAACATGTTTTTGATTATTGA